TTCTTTTTTGAAGGAGAATGCAAATGGTGCCATTCCATACTCTGCTGTTTCGTTTCTAGCTCGAAATGGTGAAACCAGCTTTCGTCACCTGTCACACTACAAAGCAAAAAATCATTGCCTTCGTGTCGATATCTCTGCAGCAGTTCTGAGGTGATGGCTTTTCGCTGACCTTTGTGGTTTTGGTCAATAACCGCAGGACCCAACGAGCACAAATTTCCTATAGCCCAAGCTTTCAATTATCTTCTGCACTGCACTGTGCCCATTCCAAGGTTTCGGGTTACTGTGTCCACTGTCACACGCCTGTAATCTTGAATGATCTCATCCACTCTTTACTTGTTGCGTTCAGTTGAGGCGGTTTGAGGATGACTGCTCCGAGGCTCATCTTCGATGCTGGTGTTCCCATCTTTGAACACTGCTCGCCCCCACGCACACACTTCCATAAGCATGCTGAAGTCTCTGGTGAATTTTTGCAGCTGGGATTTCCTCTTTCACAAGAAATTTGATGACAGCACGCTGGCGAAACGACACATCATTGTCTGCCATTTTGTTAGGAGTGATACTGGTCACGTGACGCAGGCTATTGACGTCACAAGACACTCAAGGTTAACACAACAGCTGGTTCCACCTACCACTGTACTCCCTTTTGTCTGCTGTTCCCAGGTTGCATGCAAAAAAAAGTTCCTCATGACTTTTGGTACGACCTATGTATTATATATCCCTCCAGTGTGCACAGTAGTTGCTAAATGTGGTATTTTAGTCTCTAGTTCTTTGCAAATTGTTCAGTGTGGCTCTACTTTAGCTCAGTAGAAGGATTGTAAAAATAAATTCTACATAAAGATTATTGTAATTAAGAGGTAATACAAATTGAAATGTTAAGATAAGCTGCACTGCTGTGGTTCGTATGAACATTATAGTTTTACAGGACAATGCTGTTACCACAGAATTGCAAGATGGTTCATGTGATGAGGCTCATCACACATTCTGTGACAGTGAATATCAGCAGACAGATGTGCAAAGGGGAGAAGAACCTTTGTTACTGCCATTTACATTTTATAAGGTGGAGAGTGAGGTGAGCGGCAGATTTGTGGCTATAGTATTGCACCATGTTGCGTAGAGTGAGGGCATATACAGGGTGTCCCAGGAGGAAAGTGCCAGATTTCTAGAGGGTTTTCCTTATGTTAAAGTATGCCGATATAACCCGAAACACCTATGTCCAATGTTGAACGGTTACGGAGATAATGGCCAGAGAAGTGTGAAACTTTGACAGGTGTTACACACTTGTTGATTAGCAAATACATATTAAAACTGGCAGGAATATGTGGTTTCTATAATGTTAATAATGTACATAACATCAAACTAACTTGTGAGTGACATGAAGCCATTTAATTGAACTAGAAAAAAAACTCGCACGACATGTCATAGTTGTCCTTAGGTTTCCAAGCATTATACATGACACATGCATGGCAACCACTGACGTGACATGGCTGACTGCGCATTCTGGTATAAGCCGACTACATAACTTCTAAAATACAGTACCTGCTTTATACTAATTGTTCAAAGTGTCCTCTGCCAGCTGCAATGTCTCCAACAAGCATGGTAACTCACTCCTCAGGAAGGCTTCATACGTGTTTCCAGTTAAATTTTTGTGAAACACAAAAGGTCCGAACAACCTGTTCCCAAGCACACCACACCATACATTCACAGAAAATCTCTTGGAATTTCGTTACCATTATCTCATGTGGATTATTATGGGACCACGTACGCACATTTCGTAAATTATTTACACTGTCCAGTCTAAAAGACGCCTCCTCAATGAATAAAGTGACGCTTGACAGTTTGGGATGAGCTTTTATCCAGTGGCAGAAATCCATACGCTGAGCATGGTCGCCTGGTTCCAGATGTTGTACCCTTTGATCATGGTAAGGATACAACTCTTCATCATGTAAAGTTCGCCACACCTGCATACATGATATGCCGATGCGAGAGGCAACTCTACGAGTGGACAGATGCGGACGTCTCTGAACCATCTCAAGAATGTTCTCTCGTGTGTTTCTCATTCGTACATCCTCCCTTTCCGAGTGCACAGAAAGACTCGGAGGAGAACCAGTATCACGCGATATCTGGCGAATTCGCATAAATACACTTTGAGATGGAAGCCGTCGATCCATTGGCATTCTTCAACAGCAGCACATGCATTGCCACTGCAAAATCCGTGCACAGAATGCATATCACAATATTCCACTTGTGAAAACACAAAAGGCATTTCAGCAACTCCGCAAAACTAATTTACCATCCATTCACAACACGGCTGCAACGTACCCTGAAGGTAGCACATAAGCTTATGGCTAGTGTGAATCACCACACTCAAGGACAAACATAGATAAGACTTCTCAGCTGACAGGTACAGTCTGTGGACCGCCAGAAGAACACACTTTTCTCGGGCCATTATCTCCATAATCATTCAACTTTGGACATAGGTGTTTTCGGTTATATCGCCATACTTTAACATAAGGAACACCCTCCTGAAGAACATTCCTCCTGGAACACCCAGTATGTGGAGTTCTGCTGCCAAACACTTTTCGTAAAACTGTGCATGAATACATATTTTTCCAGCATGTATATCATTGTTCACATGGAATAAAATTCGCTAGTGGGGTGTGGAGCCCAGTTGGGTCACACAGCATGGCGGCCACTGATTGGCCTACTGTAGCTGCCCCGGTGAATATGATGAGGAAGAATTTGGTGGAATGAAGATTGGCAGGGGAAACCGAAGTACTCGAAGGAAACCTGCCCCAGCGCCACTTTGTCCACCACAAATCCCACTTGACCAGATCCAGGATCGAACCAGGGTCCCTGTGGTGGGAAGCCAGTGACTAACCGCTTGAACTATGGCGCATGGCCTTCATATGGAATAAGTCAGCCGTTTACAGGAACTTTGATAAACTGTGTTGCTTAATTCTGTCAGCATCATACATTCATGCTGGATTACTAATTTGTTGCATGTATTAAAGAACTTTAACCTCACCTTCATCATTCAGTTAATCTGCATTATAGTCACTCGGGGATAAATGCTGCTCTGCTCTTATGAACTTTGTTCTTTGTATATTCATCAGCCCTACTATGTTTTGAATTTAAAGAGAGGACCTAAAAGTTTGTGATGAAGGTATATTAGGACAGGAGACAGGAAGTAGTTTTATCAATTGGGCCCGCCTGAGGTGGCATTTTACTTGAGGAGAGAGACACAGTCCAGCCTGCAAAACATTGTTTTAAATGAAAACAGGATGGTGGATAATATCTTGAAA